GCCGCCTCGCCGCTTACGAAAAAGTGTGTGTCTCTTCCCCTCCTGAATGGAGAAAGCATGCGTGCGGCTCGGGTTCACAAGTCCGTAGGGACCTGGGTCACGGATTCTGCTACCTCTGGGGCCAAAAACTGCGGCGAGAGCTGCCGCCATGCATTCTCTGGCCCTGGGCCGCTTCGGAGGACTCATTTAACATGTACGTGCGTAGGCCATTTTTCGGCGAGCCGTTCGGAGGACTTTGGGAGGACACCTGCCGGGGCCCGACAACCCTCTGGGCGTAAGTATGTGGATGTTCTGGCCGGTCCCTAACTCGTTCCCACTTGCGTTTGCACATCTGGTGTGACCACGAATATATCAAGCCACCGTTCGTGGAAGAACTTGCTGCGCCCGAGAACTTCCCTTGTCATGAATGTGGGCTCATGGCCAAGGGTTCTGGAACTCTCAAAACTAGAACCACGCCCTCCTCGCGCGCGCTAAGGTTCTAATCGAACACATTCGCAACGGAAGCCTCTTGAGCGCCTTGAGGATGTCTCGGGGCCGTTTAGGGGTGTCTGGTTTCTTGAAACCGTTTTGGAACCGCCTTGGGGGTCCCTTGGGCCGTCTCCGTCCTGGGGCCCTCTTGGGCCATCTTGGGCACCTCTGTGCCGTCGTGGGCGTCTCTCAGCGTCGCCCTGGAGCCGTCTCGAGCCCACCTTGACCGCGCTGCGGGTTTCTGGGAAGCCTCCCACGCTGCAAAAGCCAGTGACACGCCCGTGGGCAGACCCACCCTGGGTGCCCCGGGCTCCTCCCTCGTCGGCTTCAGGCGCCTGCATCCCTTCTGGGGGGCTTGGCGACCTCACCGACAAGGAGGCGGCCCAGGTTTGCATCAGGGGACTCTTGAGGACGACCACGTTTTCCTGAACTTGGGGCAGCTGCTACGGGAGCCCCGTCCGCGATAGAGCACCCCGCTCCACCTTTCCGTGGAGGGGCGTCTTCCTCATGGTGGCTGCCAGGGATGACGTGCTCCCGCGAAGGCGGCCACAACTTCAAATTGCTGCTCGGATCCACCAGCGTGCCCCCTGGCACGTTGAGGCGTGGAAGAACACAGTCGGACCTAGGACAGAAGAACATCCTCCAAGAACATGAGACCCTCTACCGGCCAACAAGCACAGAACATTCAAGAGTACCCTCCCCAGGATGCACAAGAACATCCAACCAACACGAAGAGCATCGGGGTACCCTCCTCGAACAGACCTCGATCTTATACCTCGGTCCGACTGTGCCATGGGTTGTCTGGCAGGGCTTCTGTAGTCTTCCGAAAGCCCCCCCCGCGCTCTTCTCGCGCCCACCTGCACTCAGTACCCCTTCTTCACAGCAGCAGCAGCAGCAGCAGCAGCAGCAGCAGCAGCAGCAGTAGATCCGCAGTCACGAGGCCACGATCCCTCGCACGAGAACAAGTGGTCCGCGCTCTCCCGAGGCCACGATCCACTACGACAGAACCATAGACCTGCGCTCCCGAGGCCACGATCCGTTGCAAAAGCTCAGGCATCCGCGCTCCCAAGCCTCCAAGACGACCGAGGCACGCAATCCAAGGCCGCTGAGACTGCCCAAGATGCCTCCGAGATTGCCCGAGATGGTCCCGAAGCAGCAAAAACAAGTTGCCTCAACACGGCCCAACAGGCCAAGCAGAGAGGCCAAAAGCGGTGCTGTCCTTGTCGTTTTGAAAGATGTCGGTGTCAACACCTTTCCGGGCTTCCTTCAGCCCCAGACTGCCCTAGAGGCCTCCAAGATGGCCTCAAGACGGCCCGAAAATAGCCCACCAAGAGGGCCCCTCAACGGCCAAGGACGGCCCAAAGAGAGCCCCAAGCTGGCCCAAGAGGGCCACTGGAGGGGCCCAAGACCTTCGAAAGTTCTCGAAGGCCCAGGAGACAACTGTTTCTTGATCTGTCGGCGATAGCACGGGTTATCTGCTTAGGGGGGAGGTGCGGGCCGATCACCTAACCTCTTCGCTTCGGGCAGCCCCGCGTATGCCCGCGCGCACCAATGCTGCGTATCCCCCCGTCGGACCTGCGCAACCGACAAAATCAGGTTAGCCAGGGGGCGGGGGGGGGGTGGCGGGCGGGCCCGATAACCCGGGCGATCGCCGAACTCAGAAAAGAGCCTCCAGCGTAGCCTAAGGACGGCCCCACGACGGCCGCAAGAGACACCCGAGACAACAAAGAGGGTCCCACAACGGCGCCAGAGAGCCCCAAGACGGCCCAAGAGGGCCCCAAGACGGCCCAAAGTGGCTCAGGGGATCCCCAAGACTGTCCCACAGGAGGCCAAGAAAGGATGTATGAAAGGGAGGAAATGACGAACACACGAACAGAACCCACGACAAGACACGGAGGAGTGTGTGACATGTTACAGCTCCCCCAAACCACGGGACACAAACTGTCGCACGTCACGGCCACCTGTGCCCCATCGACAAGTCGCCACCCAAAACGCCGGGCTGGCACGGTGGCTGGACTTGCCGCAGGCAGCCGGATAAAGCCCAAGCTTTAAAAGGGATTGGCGCAGCAAGGCTGCTGAGACCGACTGTTGCCGCGGGTCCTCCACCTCCTCCTCCTCCCCCTCCACCCCCCCATCCTTCACGGACCCGAGGCGCGGAACCCTGGCGCCAACAGGCGCTCACGCGGAGTAGCTGCTGACACCAACCTTCGGGTAGTCGCCAGACCTGCCTCCGCCGAAGGCGACGGAGGCGGCCTTGATCAGTTGCTTCACGAAGTCCGACTCCTTGTCCTTGACGCTGCTCAGGGCCCGAAGCTGCTCGCGGAGCGCCCCCGTGCGGCTGAGGAAGTTCGCGTACCAAGACAGCTTCTCGCCGTTGTCCTGCGAGTATGCGGTCTTCTGGGCCGCGGCGATCTCCCTCATGGTCTCGGCGACCTTGGACTCGTCGGCGGCCAGCTTCACGTCGAGGCTCATCAGGGCCTCCACCGAGCAGCCCTCCTCCAGGCAATCCTGGATCGCGACGGTTGTCGCCTCGTTGACCTCCAGCATCGGCTCGCGGATGTCGCCGGCGTCGCCGCCGTCCGCGAGGTTCACCTTGCCGCTGTCGAAAGCCGCGCGCGCCGCACGGGCCCGCGGGGCCGCCGGCGCGACGCCGACGAACGCCGCGCGCAGGCCCGCGAGGAGGCACGCTGCCGCGACGAGGGGAGATCCGCGGCGCGCCATGGCTGAGACGGATGTCTCTGCTCGCAATCGCTAAGCCTGTGGCTGCCTGATCAAGTACACCTGCTGGGAGGAGGAGGAGGAGGAGGAGGAGGAGGAGGAGGAGGAGGAGGTCGCGACGTCGCAAGGAGTGTCTCCGCGGGTTGGCGGTCTCCTGTCTCGCTGCCCGCTTCCAGCTCTCCTCGGATGGCCTCCCCCCTTTGGGATCTCTCTCTCTCTCTCTCTTGTTTCCGGGCCTCCTGAAGCTCGATGTCCGGGGAGGAGGTGGTCGCCCGATCAAGAACACATGCTGTCCAAATGGCTACGGGAGGAAGACGAGGAGGTCGCGACGTCGGAAGGGGGGTACCTCCACAGCAGCTTGGCGGCCTCCCGAATCAAAGTGCGCATCCATCCGATGTCTGGAGAGAGGGTGGAGAAGGAGGGGGGTAATGCTTCAACGACATGTTCTCCATCTTGTTGTCACCAAAAAACCGGGGCATCACAAAGGAGATCAGGGGTATGTTGCATCCTCGGGGGACCTTGTTATGTCCCGTCGCGGCCGTATCCGCGTCGAATTCGTGTCGAACCCACGTCGGCCTCGTCGGATCCGTGTCAAATCCGTGTCGAATCCGCGTCGACTGCACGACAAATCCAGAAAAGACACTAATTTGGGGGACAGGCGAGGTCCCCCGAAGATGCAACGAAAATTAGGACCCCGGCTCCTGCTCCTGCTCAGGCTCCGAGACTCTCAGCGTGCCCGGCGCGCCGCTGCGCTGCTTTCTCCCTCGCTCTCTCCTGATCAGCTGTTGCTCTCTGGTGGGTTCCTCCTCCTCCTCCTCATCATCATCATCAGCATCATCAGCATCATCAGCATCAGCATCAGCATCATCATCATCATCATCATCATCATCATCATCATCATCATCATCATCATCATCAGCATCATCAGCATCATCAGCATCATCAGCATCAGCATCATCATCAGCAGCATCATCACATCATCGGCATATTCCTCCTCCTTCCTCCCTCCCGAGGCTGAGTCAGAATGTGGGTCTGCGGGGGGCCTCCGAAGGTGCATGATGCGGCTGTCCTCTCTGGGGAAGCCACGGGGCACCGACGCCGCTGCTCCCCGGACCTCTCTGGGGAAGCGCATGCCGACCAGGATCTTGCAGCGGACCCAGCGGGGGCGGCGAGGGACTCCCAGGACCACCAGGAGGGCCAAGCAGGGACGAGCGGGCGAAGGATAGCGGTACGGGCACCTACCTCTTCGTCCTCTGCTGCTTGGCATCTCGGCGGCCAGCCCGAAGGGGAAGCGAGAGGGGGCGGGCATTCTCAACAGGCTCAAAAGTCCCCCGCCCCTCGCAAGGGTTGTCTGGGCTTTCCCCCGAAGACGCCAAAAACTTCTCAGAATGCCGGAGGGCTTCCGAGAAGCCCCGCCGCCTTCTGGGAGGGCAGTTTCCTTCTCACTTCCCCCCCCTCGCTCGCCGCCACAGGGGAGGAGGAGGAGGAGGAGGAGGAGGAGGAGGAGGAGGAGGCGGCGGCGGCGGAGGAGGAGGAGGAGGAGGGAGGGTAAGAGGAAAGAGAGACAGAGGAAGGAGCAGGGGTAGGACCATGAGGGCCAGGAGGAGGCGAGGAACAGAGTGAGGAGGAGGAGGAGGAGGAGGGGGAGGAGAAGGAGGAGGAGGAGGAGGAAGAGGAGGAGGAGGAAGAGGAGGACGAGGAGGAGGCGGAGGAAAAGGAAGAAGGGAGAATGAATTCCCTTCTCGCTTCCGCCTCCCTCGCTCGCCGCCGATGCGATCCCTCGAGTGCCCGAGGCGAGGGGAGGCGGCCAGGGCCTCCGCGCACCGCCTGGCCCATCAGCGCGCGGGGCATCGCGCCGCCGTCCCCACAATGCAGTACGTGGAGGTCGCGGAGCACCCGCGTGAGGCACCTCGGGGCGCGGGGCTGCCAAGCTGCTCCTGCGAATCCTGCTCCTGCGTGTCCTGCTGCTGATCCTCCCCCGTCTTTGCCCCTCCTCCTCCTCCTCCGACGGCTCCTCCTCCTCTTCCTCCGCTCCTCTCCTCCTCCTCCTCCTCCTCCTCCTCCTCCTCCTCCTCCTCCCTCCTCTCCTGCTCCTCCTCATGCTCCTCCTCTCCTCCCTACTCCTTCCTCTCCTCTCTCCTCCCCTCCTCCCTCCTCCTCCTCCTCCTCCTCCTCCTTCCTCCTCCTCCTTCTCCTCCCCTTCCTCCCTCCTCCTGTCCTGTTTTTCCTCCTTCTACTCCTTCTCATCATCATCATCATCATCATCATCATCATCATCATCATCATCATCATCATCATCATCATCATCATCATCATCAGCAGCAGCAGCAGCATCATCACCACCATCATCACCATCATCGTCATCAGAATCGGCATCATCATCGTCATCATCATCATCAGCAGCTGCAGCATCAACAACATCATCATCCGTCAGCATCACCATCATCGTCATCATCATCATCACCATCATCATTATCATCATCATCATCACCATCATCATCATCAGCATCATCATCATCATTATCAGCAGCATCATCATCCCCCTCCCCCTCCTGCTCCTGCTCCTGCTCCTGCTCCTCCTCCCCCACCTCCTCTTCCTCCTCTTCCTCTTCCTCTTCCTCCACCTCTTCGCCCGCTGTTCCTGCTTATGTTCCTGATCTCTCGCTCTTGGCACCGCTGGGCCCACCGTCGGGGCACTCCCCCCATGCGGGCGGCAGGGCCCAAAGCATTCGCGGGCTCATCGGGACGCCATCCCACCTCTGGCGCCCGACCGAAGCCATCAGGAAAGGAGGGGGCCCGCACCGTCAGCTTGGTCAACGCATACTCAGAGGTTGGGCAAGAAAGTTCTGCCTGGGGCAGCGCGAACGGCTGCGGCGGCGACGCTGCTCCAGAGGGCAGGTACACTGCTGGTGGCGAGCAGTGCTGGCGACGAATACGCTCGCGCGTTGCGCTGACAACACAAATGCAAAAAGTACACTGTGCCAGCCCCAGCGGCTCTAGCAGGGCCGTGCCGATAATCTATACATCTATAAATACATATGTATGTGTATATATATGTATGAGAGAAAGGGTAGAACTGTGACCGTAAGTGTAAGTGAAACATATGACTAACACTACGAATATACATGTAGCTAAACATATAACTGTAATAACCAGACTGCAGTGGCGTTTCGCGCCATGCACTTTGGTCCTTGAATATTCGCATGCAGGCGATAGGGCAGGACTGCAAACCCCTTGCTGCCTCATCTTTGATCTGATACAGTATGATCATTCCCTCATGCTTCCTCCTCATATTCCTCATTACCTGCGAATTCGTCGCCTTCCGCCTCAGCTCAGTTTGCGGAGGCTCCTCCTTGGAGAGCCTCCTGTAGGCCTCACGGCGAAAATCTTCCTGGGGCCCTCTGGAGATCTCCTGGACGCCTTCTGGGAGCCTATGGGGGCTTCCTCGGGCCACCCTGCTGACAACCGCGGTCTTCCTGAACGACTGGGTCACGACGTGGAATGAATGCTTCGGGGGGCAGGTTGGGGCCATCTTGGGGCATCATGAGGCTCTCTTCGGGCCATCTTGGGACCCTGTTGGGCCGTCTTGGGGCTCTCTTGGACTGCCTGGAAAACCTGTCGGGTGGTTGTGGGGCGATCTTCGGGCCCCCTGGACGGTCTCGGACGACGGGAAGACCGAAGAACACCCCATGGGAAATCAATACTTTCTCCGTTTCAAAAGCCTCTCGGGTGTCTTCTTTGGGTCGCCTTCGGGCATCTGGTGGGTGTCTGGGGCCTCTTGGGGCCCTCGGGGCGCCGTTCGGCCGCTCTCTTGACCCATGTGGACCCGTTCCCTAAACCCAGCAGGAGCTTCCAGGAACTCCAGAAAAACTGGGGTGCCTTCTGCAGGGGCGTCGGATCCCGCGGGTCCGGGTTTGGGGGGGATCTCCCACCCGGGCTTGAACAAATATAGGGGGAGGAACGCAGTCATACGTACATGTACATACACGTACACACGTACACCTATCTACCGATATACGTATATATATACACACTAGAACCACGCGCGCGCTTCGCGCGCTTAGGTTCTAGCAAGCGCAGGCGCTTGACAATACGACCCCCCTGTGGGCTCGCACAGGGAACGCTCCCTGTGGGTTCCTGGTGCCCCGGGGGGTCCTACACCCACTGAAAAGCGAAGACGAAATACGCGGCGCGACCCCAACGTGATCGGTTCGGTTCGTTAAGTTGAAAAATGGGATGTGCACCACGGTCCTCGTCTTCCTCCTTTTCCACCTCCTCGTACACCTCCTCGACCTCTTCACTCCTCCTCCTCCTCCTCCTCCTCCTCCTCCACCCTCCTCCTCCCTCCTCCCTCCCTCCTCCTCTCTCCTCCTCCTCCTCCTCCCCCTCCTCCTCCTCCTCCTCCTCCTCCTCCTCCTCCTGACCATTGTGGTTCGAACTGATCTCGGCCATCTTGCCCTTCTCTTGGAGCCGTCGTGAGTCCTGGGGCCAAATCAACAGGAGGGCAACGGGTGAAGCCGCCACCGTGCCTGTGTTGTGGGTCAGAAGCATTTTGGATGCTTGTTGGGGTCTCTTGCGAAGCTTCCAAAAAACATTTTCGAAGCAACTATGATGCCTCGTGGGGCTCGTCCGTGGCTGCTTGCGGACTGTAGGGGCTTCTTTGGGGCCTTCAGTGGACTTCGTGGGGCCTCTGGAGTGCTTCTTGGGGGGAGGCAATTTTGAAATGGTTCGAAGCCTCCGAGGGGCCGTTTTGGGGCATCTTGGGGGGGCCTCTTTGGGTCTCTGATGGGGGCATTTTTAAGCCTCTTGGGGCCTCTTGGGGGCCTCTTGGAGGCCTATTGGGGCGGAAATCTCTATTGTCGGTTCATGTTCCCCCACTTTGGCACCTCTTGGGGCCGTCTTGAAGCCCTCTTGGGCCGTCTTGGGCGCCTGTTGGACCGTTTGGGCGCCCTCTTGGGCTGTCTTGGGGGCCTCTCGGGGGCCTTTTGGGCCGTCTTGGGGCGATGCTCGAGGCTTCCTCGGCAATCTTGGAAGGTCAGAAGCCCGAAAACGCGGGCAAGCAAAAAACATTGAAAAACACAATGGAAATCTATGATTTGAGCCTCTTGGGGCTCTCTTGGAAAGCCTCTCGGAGCGCCCCTGGGGCTTCTTGGGGGCCCCTTGGGCCTTGATGGTGCTATCTTGAGAGTCTTGGAGCGCTCTTGGGCCGTCTTGGCGGCTTCTTGCCGTCCCCGGAAGCCGTGGTGGACGCCTCCGGGGGCGCAAAAGAGCCTCCGGACGCCCGGGGGCAAAGTGGGTTAGGGGGGGGGGGGGAATTCGGGAGGGTGTCCCGGCCCAGGACCCTGGCCCCCAGTACCCCGGTATATGATATATGTGCATATATACACAATGTGTGTGTTGGCTCGGTGGTGATGGGGGCTACCTCGGAGCGTTCATGGTAAATCGGTTTACTGCGGGCCGTTATCGTCGCAGTCACGCTCGACGACGTCCCAGGGCTAGGCCATCGGATCGCACTCGGGCGAATGCCCGACGTCAATCTCGGGGCTGAAGGCGACGATGTACCAGGTCTTCGTGTTGAACACGACGCTCCCTTTTACCAGGGGCGGCCAGCCTTGTCCCTGTGGCAATGGCACACGCTCATGGCGACGGCCGTCTCGCGCGACGCATCGAAACGAATGGCGCTCCGGATGCACTTACTGAATAGCAAAAGTGTTACGATTGAGCAGGGACCGACCGTCCCGGTATTCTTATAGTCCTACCACGACATGTTCTTAGAACCCAGAAATGTTCTGATAACCAAAAACAATGTTCTTAGAACATGAACCCGATGTGTTAAAACAAGACAGTCCCATCCAGAAACAATCTAAGAACATTTCGTGGGAACCACAAAAGGTTCTTAGAACATTGTTTGGTAGGGCTATAGGCACGCCAGGACGCTTCGCCACTGCTTGACAGTTACGGCTGACGGGCCAAGCTCCGCCTGCATATCTGCCACGGCCGCCTCCCTCCGCTGCTGCGCGTCCGCGACGCAGGCGCTGACGGCGTCGCCGTCACCAGGGTCTGGGCCGTCTTCTGCCGGCCCCGAGGCCTGGCCAGGCCCCTCGGAGGCCGACACTAGACTTAAGTCGGGCATGTCCCCCTACAGGGGGATTATGGACGAAAAAAAAATGGGCAAAAATTGTCAAAACATCGTCCCCATACTATTCTTTGACTATTTTGCATATCCCCCCTGTAGAGGGACAGGCCCGACTTACTACTATACTCCGAGCTTCTGAATAAGCGTCGGGGGGGGGGGGGGCGTCACCCCCGCCGACGGCCCCACACCGACCCCCGTCGCGGGCAGCCAACGCGCGCCGAAGGCGCTCCGACCCCGTCGCGGCGCGACGACGAGGCAGGGTTGACCCCCGTCGAGGGGGCACCCCCCCACGCTTGTTAAGAAATGCAGAGTACTGGATTCCTTCCGTCGTGACCTTTTGTCACGACTCGAGGGGCTGAACAGCACAGATCCACAAAAGCATCCGCCTCGCCCTCCCCAGGCGTGATCGCGCCGTTTAAAAAAAGCAGGACGGAAAGTTTTGGGTCAAGGGGGGGCCCTCGCCGGGCAAAATAACTCGGGATGAAAAACGGGTCCTCGGGAACGGCTCGGGACTTCCAGGGACCCCACCACTGGAAAAAAACACGACGTCGCGCGTCTGTTGGAGGCCTGGAAATGGGCACCAACACCAAGACAGGGGGCTGCCTCCCCAGGGGAGAGATGATCCTAGATTTCGGTGTTGGTGGTACTATCTCGGTCACCTTGGAAGCCAGAATATGACCACCATCGCCGAGATCGGGATCTTCTTCCCTCGGTGGAGGAACACCGCCGATATTGGTGTTGGTGTCAACCTCTGGGCCTGCGAGTCTGGGTCTGCTGCGCCCCCCCCCCCCCGCTGCCCCCCAGCTCCAGCGGCTGCCCCAAGAGCCGGGCAAGGCCGCGCCGGGCACCCGCGGCCGCCGCCAGGCCCGCAGATGCCGAGGCCCTCCAGCCGGGCGCTGCCTGGCGGCCGCACGGGAGTGGGGAAGAGGAGGGAGGAGGAGGAGGAGGAGGAGCAGGAGGAGGAGGAGGAAGAGGAGGAGGAGGAGGAGGAGGAGGAGGAGGGAGGAGGAGGAGGAGGGAGGAGGGAGGAGGACAGGAGGGAGGAGGAGGGGAGGGGAGAGGGAGGAGGAGGGAGGCGGAGCACAGGCCTTTTTGGCGGAGCACAGGGCTCAGGCGCCGCGCCCCCTCACGGTAGTTGCTCGTGAAAGCTCCCGCGGCTTGGCCGGCGGCTGAGCACCAGAGGGCGCGCGCGACCCACGGCGCGCTCGGGGCGCCGCAGGGGCTCCCCCGAGCCAGCCTGGCACAAGAGGCAGCGGGCACAGCGAGGGCGAGCTCGCCTTCTCCTCAGTGTATTCCAGGCCAAGCGCCTCCTCGAATCGCATCACAGCACGATGGGTGGAGGTACTTGGACATGCAGGCAGTGCGAGACAAGAAATCCTAACTCTCAATGGACATGCTCATGTGGCAACGTGTGGGCTCCTCGCCCCGATCCCACCAGACGCTCGGCCAGCAGAAAAAGGGACCAGAAGAAGTCCGCCAGCATAAGGGAGTTGATCGCACAGATCCCTGTTGCAGCACCTGATGAAGCGATTGCCAACATCACGGTGTGGGAGCCGCCGCCACCAGAGGCGGACGAGCTGAAGTTCTACAAATCAAGGGCCCAGTCGAAGCTCCAGAAGTTCGCCAACCTCCTTGTCGCGGTCCGTGACGCAGGGAAGGAGGACCCAGCCCTGGAGTTCGACATAGGGGTGCTCAAGTACATGATGAGTGCATGCAAGGGCTCAGAGAAACAGTTGCATGAGTTGAAGGCCCAGCTCATCAGCGCAAAAGAGAGGCTCGGCAAGATTCGAGCTAAGATCGAGGAGCTGTTAGACGAGGAGGCGACGCTCTGCCTGATGGTGCAGAAGCTGCAGAACTCCATCCAGCAGCTACGAGAAGCGGAGGACGCACCAGATCACGAGGAAGACTGGTTGATGGCCCCGCCAGGAGGAAGTGAACATGGTCTCAGAGCAGCCAGCAGTGCCCAGAGGCCGTGGGTGCAGGCGGCGGCTGAGAGGGCGGCAGCACAGGCGGAGGCAAAAGCTCAGTCAGCCAAGGCCGCGGCGGAAGCAATCGCCAGCAGAGTGCCGCCGCCGCCGCCACCAACGCCCAATCAGCCCATGGCACAGACTCAGGCATATCAGCCAACCCAGAAGGCAGCACCAAGGGCAGCCTCAGGGGCGCCGCGCAGCCAGCCAGCCACTGCAGCCGCTGCGCCGAAGGCTACAGAGCCCGACGGCCCGCGTGCAGCATGGCACAGTGGACTTCGTACGGAGGGGCAAGAGGGCCCAACGGCGGCGGCCATCACTGCGATGACGGAGCAGATGAGAGCCGTGCAGGCCCAGCAGCTAGCCATCCAGGAGCACCTCTCTAGGATGCAGACGGGCCAGAACTTCCATGCCTTCGCCCTGGCCAGGGTATTGGGAGTCGGCATCGGTGCAGCAGCAGGTGATGTCCTCATGGATGCGCAGACGATTCAGAAGGCGCAGCGGGCGGTGATTTCGGGTCTCTCGATCCCTAGTGCGAGCCCCCCTGATCTTCAGGGGTTGGCGCCTGAGCGCACGCAGAGGGACCCCGCCTCCACGGCGCCAGGTTTTGGCGAAGCCCCCCCTGGTGCAGCGCCAGCCACGGGGCCGAGGGCGCCCACGCAGCGCAGAGCGAGCTCGCTAGAGCCTCCCGTGGCGAGGACACCGCCGCCGAAGAGACAGTCGGCATCGCCGAAACCAGCCAGGGCCCCATGCAGAGGCGTCTCAGCCGAAACCAGGACCCAGGCCGAGGAGAAGGCAGTTCCAGACACACCGAGGGCGAAGGGCGTGTCCAGGGTGACGGCAGAACTGCAGAGGAACGAGCCCAAGGAGGAGGTCCTGCCGATAGATCCAGAGCTACTGATCGCGACGCAGCCAATGGTGATGGAGGAAATGATACCTGGGCCAGCGCACATCTTGCAGCACATCCAGGGGACCTCCATCGACCTGATCAGTCAGACACAGCGCTCTCCCACGCCACCGCCGGCGCAGAGGTCGCCTGGATCGCCAGTGGATCCTCCCCAGCCAGTGCCAGCGGCGCTGTTCCCCCCCGCGTGGGCAGCAGCAGCAGCAGCGGCAGCAACATCTTCAACAGCAGCATCGTCAGCATCGGCAGCGCCTGCGGCAGTGCCCGCGGCATCAGCAGCGGATGCACCTCCTGCGGCTTCGAGGACCCGACCGCTAGAGGAGGAGGAGAACAAAGAGAGGGACATGGGAGACTCGCCCAACAGGTCCCCCCCCAAGAAGATGCAGTGCCAGGGTTACGAGCTGGAAGACGGGTCCAACTTGTAAGGCCTAGCAGGGTCTCATGGGGCACAGTCGAAGTGAAGTGCTTTGAAGCGCATGCACCCATAATTGTCCGACAAGCCAGGGAGACGCTTTCTCGGACCTGTTTCACTAGGCCGATTCTTAGGTCGGCCCATGCCTCGGATATCTCGACCAAGGGATGTGGTCTTGGGAATTCGCAGCCAGGCAATATTTCTTCGGCAGTCACTTCAGGTGTTGCCACTGAGGACTCATCATCAGCTTCCACTCGGTCCAACGGCCGAACGAGGTATCGCTTGCGGGGCAAGGCCTCGAAGGAGCATCTTTTCTTGCCTCGTCCTCGCGAAGTACAGCACGCTGCACATGGGGCGCGAGGACACGAGGCCAATCAAACGTCAATTACAGTTGCGGTGGTGACTGCCCCTCCCCCCCCGCCGCCGCACCCCGCTCCAAACAGGGAGCAGCTCGAAGCAGTTGCCGGGGGGAGTGCGATGGCGTTGAGGGAGGACGGTGGGTATACTACTTCCCTTCGTCTGTTCCCTTTACTTTTCCAGTATCCTGAGAGCAATGGCAGTGGGCACTGTGATTTTCAGGAAGCGGACAGGATATATCAGGTTTTACTCCAGAACATCAACTGGTTCGAGCTTTGCAATGACGATTTTGGGGATATTCCCTTACATCACACTGCCAAATTTGCTCTGGATATCTCTGCGCGCGGGGCACATAGAGCGAGATCAGTACATATCTATGTCGACGCCTCGTACAGAAAGACGCTCAGGGACTCAGCCTGGGCCTTCGCTGCTGTCGCGATCTCGCCTGACGACACGGTGAGCTTCCTGGGATGGCAAAAAATGAGCGCGTGGGAATCCACAGCAATGCATTTCGAAAGGGACGACGTCACTAGCACGACTATCGAGCTCATGGGGATATTATGGAGCTCACTCTGGGTCTTGGGTTTCTTCGGGCCGAACACGGTGCACTCCCCCCCAGGTCTGGCCATTTTTTGTGATAACCAGTCGGCTGTCAACATATCCTTGGGTTTGGAGGTCCCGTCGGAGAACCAGCACCTGGCCTGGCTTACATACCATACATACCAGTGTGCGCTCAGGAGACACGGCACTTTGCTTTTGCATGTATGCGGTCACTCTGGGCATCCTTGGAATGAGTTGGCAGACAGTCTTGCACGGTCGGACCGAGCGGCTGGGTGTTCACCCCCGCCGGCCTTACGCGAGGCACTCAGGTACACGAACGACCTCGAATGGTGGTGGCTAAAGGAGGCACCTGCAGCCACAAGAGAAGCGTACCCTATAGGCCCCGACAATACCTTTCGGTATCCTGGGCGCCCTCAAGTGTCGGTGGAGACGCTAAGGGATACTATGGGATCCCAACCCTCGCAGAAGGCGACCCCCAAGTCTTGCCAGTTCAGTATCAGCGTGAGGCTTGCCACCTTCAACGCCAAGACAGGCAGGGACGCGGAGGCCACGGCGGCAAGGCGCGCCAAAACGTCGGGAGAGGTTCTCAGGTTGCAGTTCGCTCAAGAGCAGTGCCACATCATTGGGGTGCAGGAGGCGAGGAATCCGTCGGGGGAGAGATGTTCTGCTGGATACTTTGTGCTTTCCTCGGGGTCCGATGGTGGCAAGAACTCGGGTGTCGAGCTTTGGGTCTCACTGCACCTACCCTACGGGCGACGAGGGGGCGAGGAGCATTTCTTTGAGCAGAAACATTTTAGACCGTTGTACGCTACCCAGAGGCACCTGGTGGTTGGCTGCTGTGCCCCACTCTTTAGGAAGGTCATCCTAGTTGCCCATGCGCTGCACAACGGTGACGAGTATACCTCGCAGCAGAGGAAACAGTGGTGGCGGGACCTCATTGGGATCTGCCATAAATGGAAAGTACAGTTGGCCTTCCTGGACGCGAATGCCAGGCTCGGCAGCATTGTGTCTGAGGCAGTGGGCAGCGAAGGATTCAGGCAAGATGAGGACGAATCGGGCGGGCTGCTTCATGACATGCTCTTGGAGACGGGCTTAGCTGCGGCTAACACGCTAGTTCCCTCTCTCAGCAAGGACTCGTACACGTTTGTCTCGACGAAGTCGGAAACACCACACAGGATAGACTACATTGCGGTTGAACAGGACATGATTCCCGCATTGGGGCAACATCAAGTACGATATGATATTGATTCCTTTTGCACCGGCAAGGATCATTATCCTGTATTCATGCGCTTCGAGTCCCAGGGCTCCACCAAAGCAGCGCAACAACAGAGCGGCTACGACGCTAGGGGCACCCAGGACCCTGATAAGGCAGCAGCCTTCAGGATGCACCTGGCAGCGTTTCCCACGGTGCCCCACCAGGTCGACATGAATCAGCACTTGCACGACATCATTCAATACATGTCCGCGGGTGCACAAGCTTGCTTCCCTAAACCCGCACGTACTCCGTTCAGGCCATATGTTTCAGAGGCTCTTCTGGGCATTATCATCTTCAGAAGGCAAGTACGGCAGGCGTGGCGTCTCTGGGGTAAGCAGGACTCTAATGGGCTCAGGAGGTTGGTCGCCGCGGCGCTGGAAGCGGGGGCTCCCCAGAACATCACCGATCTCGAGCTGGACCTCCTGGTCTCTGAGCTTTTCCAGG